CCCCAGTATTGCTTGACCATCGCGTCTGGTGAGGTAACAATACAAATAAAATCTAAGTGCAAATTTCCGATTACAGCATAGACTGTCAATGCCCCTCTTTTCCCTCCTTACTCAAGCCCCCCCTACTCAAGAGGAAGAGTAGATGCGTTGGCAACAGGTCATTCATTCGTGTGTGTGTTCCCCATAGTTCCTACTTTTTCTCTCCCTGTGTGCCGCTTTAAACTCTCCTACTYCTCGCACATCCTAGACAGGGTGGGGGTATAGAAACGAATCAAGTGCAATTTTGCATGATGAAAGATCATCATACTAAAAGTAAAATAAGCAAATAAAAAATGTGGGTCCCGGACTTAGTTTAGTCAGATTTTTTTGAATTTTCCTCTAAAGTTAGGTATTACTGAGTACTTTCAAAAAACGAAATAAAAAGGGGGTTATGAGAATCTGCTTATCAAAACATTGGAAAGACGTCATCACGATAAGCACGCGCTCAATTAATTCATGCGTAGAAAGGACGTGCGCAAACAATGCCCATGAACATCTTCATTCCACGGTACAGAAGTGCTATGTAGTGATCACAATAGTGTTGTGTCCAATCATAGCTATATAACTAAGCAATAGTGTGTGACTCACCTCTAGCAAGGTTAAGACCAATGTCCAAGGCCAGTTCAGGGGTGCTTGATAGCAAGTAGTATTTCATGGCATCAAAGAATTTCTCTTGTTCACAGAGCTCCTCGGCCTTCTGTAAACACTCTTCAAGGCTTGGGAAACCAGCCTGTCGACATCAATATAATAGTTGATATTATTCACACAGTTGTTTCATACTTGACATACAATGTACGTGGCTACATTCTCAGTATTTAACTCTCACTTACATGTTTATAAACTACATTGCTTACTGTTTCTGTCATGGTTTTGATGTYAGTAACACTCAATTTCTTCACGACTACATAGACCCACTCCCCTCCCCCTTAAACTCATTTCGGGAGTCAACCAATAATGATCAAAGGAGATRTAGCTATTGTATTTTTTTGAGAGGTAGAGGTGTAGAATGGAGCAGTTAGCAACCCTTTCTCACAGTACATATTACTGTATTAGTGTTTAATGATTACTAAAACCAAAAAGAGCATTAAAAATATTTTTACCGCTTTCATTCAGCCACCTCCATCATTCTCTAAGCGTGAAATTAATGTCAAAAGGAAAACTAACTGGGCCAGACATCCCCTGGATCCACTTCTCATCCTTGTGTGCAACTGAGTKCAAACAGGAGGAGGATACATAAAGATTGTTCTTACCTTTCCATGCAGTTCATTGATTTCAGCTGGAGTCCCTTGACATTTTGCACACAACGCTAAAAGGTATTCTACATTCTTTGGTATAAGATCCAGAAGATTYAGTGCTTCTCTCCTAAGCCAACCCAACAATAAGTTTAGACACATAGAAAAGCTTTACAACGATGTGAGAAAATCGTAGTACGTACAGGTGGTGCCATTATTGACAGTTTTGTATCAAAGCATCCCCATTGAAAGAGCATCCTGTACACTCTAAYACTCCTTTTTACAGTTCCATTCAGTGATCACGAATAATAGGTCTAAGTTGAGGCTGGAGGGCTGGAGTTTTTGTGCATAGCAAAACTATGCTTTTTATCATGCGCAGCAGCTCCAACCTCCACTTGSAACTATAATTCATGGTCACTGAATGGAACTGTAAAATGGAGYRTTGWTTGGATATATTTTGCCAATCCTCCAAGCTACATGGACATGCCCTAGYATGTTTAAATACTTTTTACATTCATGCGATAACTGATCTAAGGACTTTYRCAAGCACAGGAGCAGATTAAGTGAWTATTTAAGGAAGGCTGGAGCACATTGTTATTGCTATGAAAAAGCAACTTCAATCATTCTAAAAGAGTTTTAAAACAAAACTCCCGACCCTCTAGGTACTTCCCTGWAGCAAGCTTGACAACATAGGGACTATGTATGTAGCCTGTAAATGTCCAGATYCATAGTGGTGACATACTTACCATTTATTTAGTTTCTCACACTTCCAAGAGAGTAGTTCTAAAGCACRGTGCATGATAGGGTATTTAGTAGCTTGTAGTACAATACCCATACCGACAGCCAGTTCWAGCTCATTACCACGAACCAGTTTAGACATGGCAAGCTGCAAAKAACATTAAAAAGCATTAGAGCTATGGAGGGAAATGGTGAGTGGATAGTAAGAATCATAACAGACAGTTATTCTAAATTTGTGACAACCCAAAATAAGGGGCTGCCTGTGTTCAGCTGCTTGTGTGTGACATAACATGCCACAACAAAGTTACACCTTGTATCCTGGCCTTGGCCGATTTATTTTCTGCCATCAGCCAAATCTGGCCTACATATTCATTGTATCTATATATGTATATTATTCATTTAATGAATTCTATATTGTAAGACCATTGAGATGTTTATGTAATGCGCTAAAATAAAATAATTATTATTATTACTATTAATATAATTATATTATCCCTTGGTAGGCAGCTATATTGAGCCGTTGAGTATAATGTATATGTATGAGTGTAGTCAAGGATATTGTTGTGAACATCTTACCTTGACATCCCCTACAGATAGATGACAGCATGCAGACTCTACACACTGTCCCTTGCTGTAATACCAGTCTGCTAGAGTATTACTGGTAGAATGTAATAAGCTGAAAAAACATAATTTCGGTATTCAATCAGGACATATCGATGTACCATCAACTTCCCCTCCCTCCCTCCCTCATCCCTACAGACTCTACACACTGTCCCTTGCTGTAATACCAGTCTGCTAGAGTATTACTGGTAGAATGTAATAACGTAAGCTGAAAGAAACATTCAGTATACAACCTGGACGTATCAGATGAATAATTTATTCCCATCATCCCCATATAAACCCTAAGAATGGTAGAGCTTCATTTCAGCCAATTTTTAGGGCAGGAAGGAAAAAAAACTGTCCATGACAATGGACTTTATTACCCACAATATGCCCCAGAAGATTACCCCCACCCCCCACGAGAACATAGCTGCATGAAACAGCTATATGGTATAACGATATACTTACGGCTGGTACTGTTTAGCCATGTCACTCTGTATCTTAGGCAACATATGATCATTTCTTTTCAAATCAGGTAACTTGCTTGCATTCTTGTCCAGCCAATGAGGAAATCCTGCCTCACATGCAACCTGAGCTACAAGGAATGCATCATGGAGCTGACCTCGGGATGTGTAGAATGACACCAGCTGTCAATCAAAAAATATGAAACATCAGTTGACTTGTCAAACATCATGTTTCAGCTAATATATTATCTAGCATCAAGCTGGTCATGAGAGTTTTGATTCTATTATGTGTCTTAGCAAGATAAAATACTCATTGACAAGTTTCCTTTTGTTCAGCATTAGCCTTAATATATTTTATGATCAAGGGAATCAAGGGTGATGTGACGGTAGTACACTTGCATGTCACCCCTGGGGTCTTGGGTTTGATTCCTGGAATTGGAAGTAGAGTTTGTTAGGTCTCTCCCTGGATTAGTCTTCCTGCAGCCCAACTTTACTGGGATTTTTTATGTTCTGCAAACTTGCTAGTTACAAGCTGCATACTGAAATTTGGTTTTTCGTTGCCATCAATCAAAAAATAATCAGTCGGTACCTTTCATGTAAAACAATTTCACAACAAATCATTGAAATTTGTCATTGAGTCATTGAGTTTGCAGAATATAAAAAACAGCAGTAACTCACAGTTATGTTTGACTGCATGCACTCTATCCCTGGATTTTAGGCCATTTTTCCTCCCTCTGCACAACCCAACACAAAATTCCAATTTGATCTGTGAGTTAGCAGTGCCATAGCTTTCATCATAGCTTTGATCAAAATATGATGAGCAATCACAGATACATGAACATGATAACAGTAATGATGAAAAGGTAAATTATAACATGATAACACTACACTTTACAACAAAGGACACAGGGAGCCCACCACATATACAGAGATCTTGTATACCTGCTTGGTATTTCCTGATGCAACACAGTAAGGAATGGYAGCATCATCATCTTCTTTTACTAACTGCTCAGCTCGTCTGTCAGAATTTAACATAAATATGAGAGAGCATGAAAACATGGCAAACTAGCATAATCATTTACTTTATGACCAGCCAACACATTCGGTTGACAGTCAGCTGTCTGTTGGCCAACAAGAGGTGGATGCTTGACCAAACCTTGGCAGAACAGTCAGGGATTGTCAGCTAGTCAAAAAGTACATGATTTCCAATGCTACCAGAACATAAAATGGATAGAATACCTCTCTATTAGTTCTTTCCAGTAGTCCATGGATACACCAGGTGCTATAGCAAGTGCCTTGTCCCACTACAATTAAATCAGAGTGGTATTTAATAAACATTAATAACATCCATAAACAGATAAAATA